ATGCTCATCTAAAAATAAAACAAAACAGAAGAAAAAAGCAAGTTTATTAGTTGGACCGAATTCAAATTATTCTGTACATTATTTGATTAAAACATCTAATTTTTGGTGCTAAAAAATATGTTAATTTGTCTAGACTAAAAGTGGTATTTGTTTTAATTTGTCAACAGACGATATTATAGAGGCAATTTTATCGGTCTTAAAATGTGGTATGATCAAATTGTTCTTATGCGTGAGGCAAATAAAAATAAACTACTAGAGGAATTTCCAGGGGCCAGCACTAAAATTGGTTTAATTTGTATTTTGAAAACGATAGAAGAAATAAAGATATCTTTTGCGGTAGAAATAAATACGTGTAATATAAAGTATTTCCAATTAAAATTTTGTTTACAATAAATAGGTACAGTAGATAATAGAGAAAAGGCATAATAAAATAGTTTTAGAACCAAGAATTATCTAACTATTTCATCACATAAAATACATCTAAAGCATTAAGTGTTAAAAATAAAAAATAATAACAAAGAAAACATTGTTTTAGTGCTATTTTTGGTATTGATATTATACAACGCTTTTGTTTTATATTAAGTGTAAACTCATGATGCACTTGCGGATCCGGACCGTAAGTTTAACACAAAGCCTCTGTAGGTGTATATTATTTGTTTGTATCCTCACGAGCTACCGATGACCCTGTTTATAAGCAGAGTAAACAGCGGAGGTAGATATAACGTAAATTACATTTTTGTTTATTTAAACAAGGTAATCGAATGTTGATTACTTAAGAGCAATATTTTACCCAAGAATAAATAAAATTCGGAGACAATAGAAAATTAATTTGGTACGTCGGCATCAGAAATTATTTAAGTGTATGCTGTTACGTAATATTTTTGGTCAATGAAATTATTCACATTCGCAAAAATTATCGAAATGAAATAGAATGGGAAAATTTGTTGAAAATTTATTTTAAGACAACTGAAAATAAGTACTAATAACTTCACATAAAGAGAACAGGTACGGTACCATATCTACAGTCTACTGTACTCCAGCCAAGAAATAACGAAATGAATCCAGTAGCAAAGAATTTATCTTTATTTAGCGTATGGCATGTTAAGAACACATAAATAAAACAATATTTTTACAAAAAACCTAAATGGAGTGTTAAAAGCAAATATCTAATATATCAATATAATCTAAAACATTTTCGTTCTCATTCAGGTATTCCATCTTCCTAGTTTTTCTTGCTGTTCTGTTAATATATTACCCTCATTGTCTCTTTACTTCTTTTGTTGAAATTCCTTTTTGCTGTCGTTTAGTATCTGGTAACTTTTTGTGTCAAGTCACAACTTCATCGGTAACTTCATCAGAATGAAGAAGTGCTACTTGCAACGGCATTAGTACGAGTAAGAGACTCAAAAGGAAGCTCACAATTGATGAGAGCATTGATTGACCAAGGCTCGCAGTCATCATTCATTACGGAGCAGGCCGCTACAAGTCTCGGAATAAAAAGAAAAGCTGTCCACGCTCAGATATCTGGAATTGGCAATGAAGACCAAACGACGTCGAAATGGAGCGTAACATTAAACTTAGAGGCGCATTTCAAAAATGAATTTGAAATGAAGACCGAAGCAATTGCGCTAAGAAAAATAACAAAAAATCTACCGGAGAAAGAGATACAAATAAAAGAAAGGAACCATAGAAACTTAGTCCTGGCGGATTCAAATTTTAATAAAACAGGTCCAATAGATATTCTTTTGGGAGCCAAAGAATATAGTTTGATATTACTGGACGGAGTAGATCGAACAAAAGATGGTTTGCTCACCCAAAATACAAAATTGGGTTGGATAATGTCAGGGATAGCACAGCAAGAGAATATCCCGAATATCCCTAATATACAAGTAGTCAGCATGATATCTAGACAAGAAATGGATGAACAAATAAAAAAATACTGGGAGTTAGAAGAAGTAGATCAAAGCAATGCTCTTTCAGTAGAAGAAAAAGAGTGTAAAGAATATTATAAAAGAACAGTAAAAAGGGATAACGAAGGAAGATTTGAAGTTAAAATACCCTTTAATTCTAATACAAGCCAATTAGGGGACTCAAAACAGCAAGCATATGCGAGACTGCTGCAATTAGAACAAAAATTTCAAAGAGACATAAATCTAGAAAAAGAGTACAGGAAATTTATGCAGGAATATGAAGACTTAGGGCACATGAAATTGAATAAAACTGAAACTATTAATAATCAAGAGTATTACCTTCCTCATCATGCGGTAATAAAAGAGGATAGTATCACAACAAAATGCAGGGCCGTGTTTGACGCTTCCAGGAAAAGTTCAACAGGAATCAGCCTCAATGATGTAATGCACTCTGGACCTCGTTTGCAACAAGATCTTACAAATATATTAATAAATTGGAGGTCGTACAAAATAGCATACACGGCAGATCTAGAGAAAATGTTTAGGCAAATAAAGATAGCTGAAGAAGATCAAGTTTATCAGAAGATATTATGGAGACAGTCAATATTGAGTAGTTACCGAACGAACACCATATTGTGTAATTACGAGTTGCTGTCAATAAATCATCACTTTTACTTCACAACTTCAACATTTATTAACCCTATCATCATCGATCGACGAGAAGCGGACAAAGGGGCATTTATGAACCGACACGAACTTCACTACTAAGTTCGATATTTTCCATTGGATGTCCTCTGCTTGTCAAGTTCTGTACCGCTGTTGTATCATTAAGTACATTCTGGTTTTTCTCTATATTATAATCTAATGTTCTTTGTCAAAATAGTCTTACGTTCTTGTTTTTCTTTATTTACTTTTCATGCCTAGTAGCTCTTTAGCTACTTCTTTCATGATGTTTCAAGCCAACGAATGGAAAAAATGTTTAAGATGATTCAGGATATAGATGAAAGAGATATCTTTAACGAGACGAATCTTTTTTTAAATGTACTCCTGCCAAAACACTGGCATTTAAAAATGAAAAATGTCACTGAAAACTAGGAAAGAGTCACTCTCCTAATTGGTGTAAACATGGACGCATCAGAAATGTTGCCTCTACTGATCATTGGCAAGTCGACTAATCCACGTTGTTTTAAGAATGCCAAGTCAAAACCAGTAAAATATGTAAGCAGCGCAACAGCTTGGATAACTAGTAATCTTTTCAAAAAATAGCTGATGAAATTGGACAAAAAGTTCATAAAATTCATAAAAGATAAGTTATTTTGTTTATTGACAACTGTACGGCACACAACACTATCCCACTAATGGAAAATGTAAAAGTTTTTTTTTTCCTTTTAACATGACTTCAGTTCTTTAAATTATAGACCAGAGCATCATAAAGCATTTTACAGATGTTTTTTGGTTGAAAACATAATGACGGAAGATTTCAACTTCCTTAAAATAAAGTTAGACATTCTTCAAGTCTCTCGAATCTGTAAGAAACCTTGGGAGAAAGTAGAGATATTGCAAACGCTCCTGACCATGGAGCTGAGCGAAGACAGAAAGGTTATATTATTGTAAACCAAATTTCGTCCACTGCTCCGTGGTCAGGAGTGTTTTCACTATCTCTAACACCCTAACCAATTAATCAAACACTGTTTCAAAAAAGCTGGTTTCGTAAAAAATGAGGAAAACGCAGAAAATGCCAACAACACTTTAACAGAAGAGTTGCTTTCAGTTGAGGGCTGGGATGACGTCACTTCTGATTCTGCCATCTCTTATAACGATTTTGTCTACGTGGTACTTTAAAAGTAAAAATTACGTAAGTCACTCTATTTTTGGTTCACTGAATATCTTGTCATTATCGAGAAGTTAAATTCTAACAAGCAGCTAAAAATTTCGGATTTCTTTGAAGAAAATTAAAGTCTGTCTTTTTTGTAAATTGTAACAAATGCTCTTATTTTCAATAACATTTTTGAGACAAAATGTTTTATTGTTTCGATGACGCTTCCCATTGGGCAAATTTATATCATCCGATTTTTTCGACCAATATTTGGCAGAAAATACCAATGAGAACACCTGCCATAACGACAATAATTGCCATTTTTTATAGCTTGCAAATGTATAAATTGGTATTTTTGTCCGAATTTTCTTAGCCACTTTTTTCGGTTGACAAAACTCGGACAAGATAGGAACGAAAACATCTACACATGATAAAAATCGTCAATTATTGTTGATTTTTATCGTTTGTAGATGTTTTTGTAGGTATCATTGTTTTTTGTAGATATATTTTTAATTAATATTTTTGGATAATTTAAATTTTTTAACTGTATTATATATGTGTAATATTATAGTGTTAAATCACGTTAATTAAATAACTAATAAAGATAATAAAATAAATTTTACTTATATGCCGATACAAGGATTATTATTAAATATTTGATAAAAACAGTAAACAACTCAGGATTTTCTGCGTATATAGCGATAGGAAAGATAAGCTTTATCAGGTATTATTTGTATTCTTAGTTATGGCATATTTTTTCAACTTTATCAGATGGATTGCTTATATGATATTAGATCTTCCTGAAAAAGCCACCAAAAATGATCACAATTTTTACAATTTTATTATACATGCATAAATTCTTCTGTTGTATTCTTTTGCGGTTAGAATCAGAGGTTTTTAACTTCTCTCTAACTTTAAATACACGTTTAACATAAGTATCATTTACAATTGAGAAACGGATATAAACAGTAGATATACACAAAACCCCGAGGAGACCAATGTACTAGACCAAATTTCGAAGCTGAAATATTAAAATAATCTAAATTAAAACAAAAATATTGTTTTTTAACGTAAAATTTAGAATAATCTGATAATTTGCGTAACATAGCCGATGGACAATAAAACTCAAATTTCAAACGTGAAATAAATCAACTACAAACTAATTTTCAAAAATGTTATATCTCTTTCTAAGCAATAGTTTTTATAATACAAAATCCTTCCCTGTATTTCAAGTTAATGTCAAACCAATTAATGTCCCTAATTGTCTTTTGCAGATAGGCGGCTGTGGTGGAAACGAAAGAGAGAAAGGTAAATTGGCGGGAAACGACAAACGAAAGGCGGATGACGGTGAACCGAACAAAGATATCAAAAAGGTGAGTTTTTATTGCTTTGTATGTTTTCGGTTTTGAAAGAAAAAGTCGGAGCGAAAGACTGATTGATTAAGACGTTTGGAACTTTCGGAGAACTTGGGAGTTTTTGACAAATTAAAAGCAAGTATTCTTTTGTTACAGTTTACCATAAATTAATGAAAGTTGAGAAAATAACTCAATCCATTGTTCGGTAATCGTGATTAATATGTATTGGTACTAGAAAACAAAAAGTAAACAAGTAATATTTAGCTTTTATATCATTTAATTATTTTATGTATGTGCTTATTATGTTATAACTTGTTGTACGATCTCGATTTAATTTAATCCGTCATTTTGAAAAAGGTTCACCTCCACTTTTGTAAATTCACAGGATATGTAGAAAACTTATTTTCATTACTATTAAGAACTGAAGTGTTCTTATGTATTTTTTGGTTTTATGATTTTCTATACAATCCGAGGAATATTATAAAGATATTTAATATTTCTGGGTTTGTATAGTAAATTTTTATTATAAAGATCTTAAAAGGTATTTTTTAATTTTAAAGAACTAGAAACCGAATGTTTTTGTGAAAAAGATGAACCGTTTTCAAAATGAATAGGTAATACAAGTGTCCAATATCAAATCTTCAGAATTCCTATCCGAAATTGGACAGTATAATTTATCACCCAGTAGACCGAATGAATTTATTTGTTATTAAATACACACACCTAGATAATTAGGTTACATACGGATTTGGTCAATTATCAACAATATAATTTGGACATCAGTCAAAAGTGCTCACAAAGTTAAACAATTTACATAAATTAGACACACATATCACGCGAGGCCCGCGAATATATTGACCCAATTAAAACTTATATAAAACTAATATCTCTTGCCTAGAGAAGCATTCAATCAATATTCACTCAACAAACTTGATAGTCTTCAGCGATCAACTTCAACAGTCTCTACTCAAAGTAATCCCGGGTCAAAACCCATAGTGTACGTCTCTCCAATAAACTCTGCTACTATTATTTGGTGTGTCCATTACAACTGAACGAACATCTCCACTGATCCAACGAAGGAAATTGTTCACAAGTAAAAATAGTCAATATAATATGAATATTGTTTATTATAAGCATTAGCCTGACAACGCCCTTAATTTTTTTTGTGTATGTTTGCGTTTGTTTCAAAAACCACTAACAATGGTTTAGAAAACACTAGAAAAATATTTAAAAAAAATTTTGCCAATGATAAGTATTGAATTTACTCCGTATCCATATCGACCCCGTGGACATTACAAGAATAAACCTATTAAATCACAGAACAAATCGATAAAAAAATTAAAGCATTTTTATTGAATAAAAAATCTATTACTACAAGTATAAAAAAGTACAAACTAGATATAAAAACTAAATTCATTTTTAAGTGTGATAGGTTACAAAACATGGTACACATAATCCAACATTACATTTGATGCATATTGTTCTCACTTTACTTTTACAACTTTCTAACCCACATCTTTTTCTTTTACCATCTTTAGTAGAATCTACCAAATGTTCAATGTTATCGTATCGTATGTCAGGAATTACTTTTCTCGAGTTAGCTTGGGAGATTAGATTTGGTCCTGGTCGTTAAGTAATAATTTGGTATTTTGTCAAATATCCTTGTACTAAAGTGCGCCTAAAAGTCTCCCAGAAACGCAACTTAGCTATATTGACAATATCATCAAATGTCATTATAAAAATATAAATTCATCTACTTTAAAATGTACAATATATATTTCAATTCATATATATATATATATATATATATATATATATATATATATATATATATATAATATATCAATTCATATATATATATATATATATATATATATATATATTGTATATATATATATATATATATATATATATATATATATATATATATATATATATATATATGAATTGTTAACATAAACGAGTCAGATAAAATTTAAATTAGTAGAAGAATTTTTCACCAAGTACCAAAAAACAATGCGTACATGTTTTTAATTTATTAATGTTTGTATTTTGACAACGATCTTCGAGGTAGAAATTAAAACGTTAATAAACTTATTTTAACCCTTAATTGTGGCTTATTCCCATTAAAGTATTAGTTGCTTTAAGAACAATATGTCATTGTGCTTCTAAGCTAATCTCTTTATCTTTTTACAAGTCACGGCTGGATTTAACCAAATTTGATCTTAAATGAACCTTACATTTTTCCCTTAATGATATTTTCAACCCTAACAAGATTTTCTAACCTATTTTCCACACATCACAGCCTTGTATACAATTTTCTGTTATTAATATTATAAACAGATGTTTTGAACAAACAGCCACAGGCAGGTAACCAACTCTCTCTAAACAACTAGCAAACTTCCAGGCGCGTAATACGGGAGATTACCGATTCTTACCAGCCGAATTTAAGTTCCGCATGACAGATTTCTAGTCACAGCGATTGTATTTTCATTGTGGAAAACTCACGGACTTACGACCGCGGTGCGGGTGTTTTCTTTTTCCTATCATAAGCGCGTCAAAAGGGAACCTAACGCTATTTGGAGTTTATTTACACCAGCAGTGGCGGTCCCGACGAAATAAATGAGTCTGATTTTTCTTTTTTTTTATTTCTTAAAAGGATTTGAGATTTGATTGAGTTCTGTAAACCTATATCCATATTTACGAAGTACCCTGGTAGAAAGTGAAATTTGTAAAGTAGTACCAATTTGCGAAAAACCAATAATACGGGAAAATATAAAAGTAGCAATAATTAAAACAGCAAATGAAACCTTAAAACCAAAGAATAGAAAACATAAAGACTGGATGACTGAAGAAATACTACTATTAATGAATGAAAGAAATTCATTTAAAACAAAAAATCCAATTAAATATACTAAAACTGATCGATTAATTAAAAAGAGAATAAAAGAAGCTATGGAGAGAATGTTACAAGAGCAGTGCCAAAAACTCCAAGAAAATGAGAAAAAATATGACTTTTTTAACATCCATAAAAGAATTAGAGAATTAACAGGAATGAGAAAAACACTTCAAACTAGGCAACTAAGAGATGGAAGTGGTGCACTTATAACAAACATAAACCAAAAAATGCAGACATGGACACAATATATAGCACAACTTTTTGAAGACAAAGAGAGAACAGAAGCACCAAAAGAATTTAAGGATGATACTGGGCCTGAAATTATATGAGAAGAAATTGAATATGCAAGGAAACAAGCTAAAGGTGGTTAATCTCCCGGACCTGGTGAAGTTTCTATCGAATTACTCAAAATTGTGAATACTGAATCTATTGATCTTCTTTTGAATCTATTCAATACCATATTACAGAACAGGTATAATACCTAAAGAATGGCTTCAATTAACATTCATACTGCTTCCCAAAAAAGCCAATACAAAGGAGTGCAATAACATTGCAACATAGTCCTGATGAGTCATGTCTTGAAATTGTTTTTAAAAGTAATTCACAGTAGAATACATAAGAAATTAGATGAAGGCCTAAGTAATACACAAATGGAATTTAGGAAAGGACTGGGAACACGGGATGCACTGTTTGCAGTAAGTGTTCTTTCGCAGAGATGCTTAGATATTAATCAGGAAGTATATGCCTGTTTCATTGGTTTTTGAGAAGCCATTTGACAGAGTGCAGCATAATCGTCTTAAAGAAATTCTATAAAATAAAAACATAGACAGTAGAGGCATTAGAATCATATGTAACCCCTATTGGAACCAAACAGCAAAAGTGAAAGTTGAAAATGAACTGACCGAGGATATCTAGATTCGCCGTGAGGTCCGCCAAAGGTGTATTTTATCACCCTTGTTATTTAATTTATACAGTGAAGCCATCTCAGAATTAGCTCTTGCCGAGATCAGTGAGGGCGTTATAAAAAACGGTGAGCCACTTAATGATATAAGATATGCTGACGACACCGTCCTTCTGGCAGAAACACTATAAGAACTGCAACACCTTGCTAAACAACTAAATATATATTGCAACGATTATGGACTAAAAATAAATTTAAAGAAAATCATGTTCATGGTATTTACAAAAGCACAAAACAACAAAGTTAGGCTAGTACTAGATAATACAGAAATTGAACAAATATCTTCGTAGAAGTACATTGGAGCATGGATCACACAAGATACTGATCAGACAAAAGAAATAAGATACCGCATTGAAATTGCACGGTCAATTTTTAATAGAATGAGAAAACTTTTTTGTAATCGCGATATCAATATATCGCTCCGGATAAGAATGCTTCGATGTTATATTTTCTCTACCTTTTGTATGAGGTTAAAACTTGGACACTTAAAAAATCCAACATTAAAAACCTAGAAGCATTCGAAATGTGGTGTTACCGACGTATTTTGAAAACATCATAAATGGATCGCAAAACAAACGAACAAGTTTTCGAACAACTAGGAAAACAATGCGAAGTTTTAAATTTCATAAAAATCAGGAAATTGGAATACTTGCGGCACATCATGAGAGGTGAAAAATACGAACTACTAAGGAATATAATGCGGGTAAAATCAAAGGCAGAAGAAGCGTAGGAAGACGTAAAATCTCGTGGCTACGCAATCCTCGTGAATGGTTTGGATACAGTTCAATTGAACTATTTAGGCGTGTAACCAACAAAATTATAATTGACAGAATGATTTTCAATCTCCGATAGGAGTGGAACTTGAAGAAGAAGAATAATAAGAATACAGTTGTGATTGCTGTAACAAAAGAAATCATGTCAGTACAGCAAGCAAAATATATATTATAAAGATATATGGCCACAAAAAAAATGGTCATGGCCGTATAATCCTACTTTTCTCCTGGCTGTATTACTTAACACTGTATTTAGATATTTTTCTACGTAAAAAATATAGTAAATCAAGAATTACACAATAAAATAAGAGCATGTACATGATTTTCAAGGTCTATGAAACATCTCAGTATAATTATTATAATGAAAACTTACCTATTCAAACCA